CCCCAACCCTAAACTCCTTTTTTAAATTATTTTTTTCCTCTTTAAAATAAAATCAATTCCAGCCCCATATCAAAAATATCGAGCATCAATTAAATGACAAAAACAACATTTCGAACTAGTTAAGACCGGTCCATTGCTCCAATAAGTGGGCATGTTTGGTAGCTATCAAATCAAACCATACTTTTAACAATTTTGATTAGTTTGTGAAAGTCTATATTTCGATCAATCATTGGATTTGTTTTATTAACCTGAATATCCAACCCGTTATATGAGTCGTCGAATCCTAAAACGATCACCTGCTTTATAGATAGTCTGGAGTCACCGCATTTGAACCTCTCTGACCACAAGAGGATTTTTATTCCTCCTTAGATTTGAACGTACTTTTGACCTTTTTGAGTCAAGCTCAAACCAATCAGGCACCATTATTGTGGTTCAGTCACTGGTTTTTCCAATCTCTATCTATGAAACACTATGAATTACCCAAATCAATACGATTATTATTGACTTTGCATGTGAGGTTTAAAGATATGATTATTTCAGTAATTTGAATTTTCGCATCCATCAACCAAATAAATCAGCTTTCGGTATTAACGACTATTCATCTTTATCATGTTTATTTAGCTTCTAGTATTTCAAAATGCTCCAGAAGATCATTTAAGATAACATACTAACATGTTTTTTTTCGCTTTTAAAAAAGATCATGCTCCAAGCATAAATAGATGTCTAGTGGATCAAAGTTTTGGATGTTTCCTAAATACCAAATATTTTGATATAAAAGATAACGCACATGATCATTTTCTTGAATTATTGTACTTGATTTTTCTATTTAAATTATATGGATTAGTTAGGTTGATACATTTATATATTAAAATATTCTTCTAACATTGAATATGATGTTTTTTTTTAATAATAATTCATTTTTCATTATCAATCATTTTGTGTAGCTTATCCATACTCATTAAATCTTAAGCATATCACATTCAACTATTTTTCTTAATTTTCATATATATGTTCATATTTGTTGAATATATATTAATATATACGAAAAAGTTATATAGAGATGGATAAGAGATTGAAAATATATGTATATGAAAAGCTACGTGATGGTGTAATTGTCTGGTATTAATATATATATTACTAACTTAAAAACATACTAAATCAAAGAAATAAAATGATATTGGGTTCAATTTGGGGGATGTTGACTTCAACCATTGATTGAATAAAAAATGTCCCCTCACATCGGTATTTTTAAAGATCAGTTCCGTGTGAAGTCGGTTAAAATTACGGACAATCAACTTTTTATCCAAATAAAACAGAAAGCTTTAATTTAACACGTTTAAGATAAGATACAACTCAAATCGACTTAAACATGTCATCGGAATTTAGGGATGGCAAAAAACCCGAAAACCAAACTTTCGGGGACGTCTTATTGGGGACGGGGCGGGGATCAAGGACGAATTCGGGGATTTTAACCGCGGCGGGGACGGTAATCACCGGCCTGGTCGATATGTATGTGTATATATATGTATGTATATATATATATATATATATATATACTAGTTGTGTACCTGCGTAATGCGGCAGGAGCCATGAATTTTAACGATTTTGAATTACCATTGGTTTTATAAGATAAGATTTAACAATGATATAAGTTACACTTGGTCTTTACATATTAATACAATTTGAATAAATAAGAGTTATGGTTCCAATTACAGACTATCGATGGAAAGAATTGTATGACAGTTTAAAATCCAATATATTTAAAATCCAACATATTTAAACGACTCCACAAATGTGTTCGATTCACACCAAGAGCAAATAACAAAGAAACTTGAGTTTTAAGATAAACACTCAAAACCAATAAAGAAAACTACAAATTTGACAGATCATAAACCATGAAAAGACCWAAAAAKWTGGGTTTTAGAATGAAATTTCAACTGCTTACCTTCTTTCTTGTCTAGAAACTCAGATTAATATTGAATTAATACATGTATATAAAAAACCCAAGAACATTAATTCAGAACACATTATACAGTGCAATTTGAACAGCCTAACCCTAAAATATATAGTATATATATATATATATATATATATATAAATAAATAACTATAAAAGTATAAATCATAAATATTAAAAATATTTTTTCATAATATATATAATATATAATAATATAATTAAATCAAAAACTATTCAATATTGGACTCATTTCGAAGGTATTAACGAAACGATTATAATGGTATAACTTGTTAAAATAAAAATGTATTTTTTAAACATGTTTTAATTTATATACGATTATGAATATTAATTTGATAAAAATTTAAAATGAAACATTTAAAAGTAAAGGATGTAAAGTAAATTAATCAACTAATTATAGGAGTATAAAGTGTAAATTTAAAATTATAATTTAAAAAAAATGGTTGTGAAAGGGTGAGTATATGTGAGAGGATGAGTGTATGTGACAAGAGGAGGGGGGTGAAAAAATGATATAAAAGGTATCTTGGTCATTTAATATTTTAAGGCTTTAAGACTTTTGTTAAATTTGCTTTATAAGATAGTATAGATATAGATATATATAATATCATTATAAGAAAATAGTAACATTAGAATTTGAAAGACTTTTATCCATTTAACTCAACAACACAAATAAAGCTCACATAAAAGTATCGTTTATTTGTCCAAAATCGTGATTTTAGTTGTATTATGTTTGAATTTCTGTTTAGTTTTATATTGTAATCTAATACATTGTTTGTAATTGGTTCGATTATATTTGAGACATTTAAACTTACATCTTTAAAAAAAAATTGTAATTTACTTTTAATTATAAAAACTAGCATATTGTAATTTTTTTCAGATCGATTTCGGGTTCGATTATAACCAACGGTGAAAAAAATGATTTTTACCATTAACGGGTTCCCCAATAGAGATCGGGGAAACCACGGGGACCCAATGGGGATCCCCGATAAGATCCTCCGATAAGGATCGGGACGGTTACGAGGACGGTTTTAGCTATCGGTTTCGGAGATAAAGATACCAATACCCGATCCGTTGCCATTCCTATCGGAATTCAGACATGTGAAACAAAACTAAGCATTTTATAACAAGAACAACTAATGAGTGGTGGTGAATGGACTTTGATGTTGATTTATATTCAGGGACAAAAAAGGGTTACCTCCACAAGAGATAAAATGCGGCAACGCAGATGCCTATGAATCTATGAAGACTCCATCGGAAACAATGGCATCAATCATCGCACTTATACTGTTGATACTACTCTCGATTGATCGGAAAACCATCGCTGATAACTATAACCAACCGGAACCGATTGGTTATGGATACTCCCTCAAATCTGTCGCCATCGGTCCGTCGGGAAAATCATTGACCGCTGATCTGCAACTCAACAACAAGTCTTCGTTGTTTGGACCTGATATCGATGAGCTTCACCTCTTCGCAAGGTATTTCTAATTCCGTCAAATCCCAATTTAATTCCTGAAATCGAGTACACGTGTGCTTCAGATTCTCTGTTCTGCTTAGTTTTTCCGTTTTTGAACACAACCTCCACACTGTTGAAATTCATCATACTTTTCCGTTCGTTACACACAGTATACAGTGTGGATGAAGGATCTTAGATAACAATCTAAGAGGTTATCAATGACTTAATGAGTTTAATGGGTTAACGGGCTTATTCATTCAGTCAAAATGTGTTTACTTAGGGCTTATACACACAAAAATGAACTTGTTCGCATTGTCCAGGTTCAGGAAGAAAAAAACAACCCTACCCCTTCACACATCCTTCATTGTTTACGCCTCCTTAGATCCCATCTTAGATTTTGCTTTTTGATTTTCGTTTTCGTTTTCGATTCAATAACTGCATCTCCTTCCCAGATTCAAGAACTCGATTTTGTTTTCATTTTCTGATCTCGTTTTCGTTTTTCGCTTTCGATTCAAGAACTCGATAATAAATTCTCAATACGAAATCGTTTAGCAAACTCCAATTTCTGTTCGAAATTTTATGCGATTACGAACTGGAAGGTAATCCCATCCCAATCATTCGAGTAGGAGCAGAAATAAAATGGAAATTTTCATTACAAAATCGAAGAGACGTTCAGAGTCAAGAAAAACAACAATAACCTAAATAATTAGGAAAATTGAAGAGATTTTCAAAAGTATGATTGGCAAAGAACATTACTCAGAAGGCATGAAGTTCAATTTGGTTCGATTCTGCCAGCAGAGTTTCCTCAACTTTTAAATCAGAAGAGGGAGCTTTGTATCCTCATCGTAACATCCTTCATTTTCCAATCAAACTCAATACTTCAAAACACAGATCACAAACCACAAACAAAATAATGAAAACAAAACAAAATTCGTTGATTTGTAAGAGAAGATCGCTCAGTTCAGCGGGATTATCGACACGCAAACAAATCTCTAAAGAGAGATGACTGCATTCCGGTCTGTTGAGCTTGAATTTTCCGAGTCATCACCGCGATCACTCTTAACAATTTGATTTAAAGAACCCAAAAAGGTAAACAACAGAAAACTAATCAGATTTAAAACACCTAAGCAAGAAGAAGGTGGAACAGAGGCGGCGATGGATCAGTGTATGGAACAAATGGATGGCTTGTATGGGTGCATAAATAAGTTATCAGATTAGGGTTTAATCGACTGTGGTTGGGTTTTCAAGACGGCCCATTAGCGTCTCGGTTCAGATTGTTCATACTGATTTAACAATATTTATTTTTTATTGAAATTTATCATTTTTATCTTTCAGATTGTTAGTTCAGTAAAAAAAAAGTAAATAATAATAAAATTTTATTTAGACAGATAAATTTATCTACACGGAACATAATGAAAATTTTAGTAAGCAACCCCTAAGGGTGAATATGGTATAAATCGAGAATTTATTGGGTGTGATTCGCTTTATCGGATGAATATAGTAAAAATCGAGAATTTTACTAGGTAACAGGCATGGTAACGAAATATAATGATTTTGAGATATTTGGATTTTGTGAATAGATTGGAATTGGAAATATTTGAATTTTGTTTGGTTTGTAAAATTTATAATGAAACTGAATTTATTTTTATAAGTAATTTATAAAAATAAATGAATTATTTTTATTAATTGATTATTATAAGACAAATGTTTTTAATATATTTTAAAACATTATTATATATAGATTTTAGGAAAACCCGTAAAATACCAACCACCTTTGTAGATTTCAAAATCATATTTTTGTAGGATAGTTTATTATCTCTGAACAATAGCAGACCCAAGATTTTTGCCGAACAGGTGTACCTTTAAGGTGGATCAAAGTCAAGCAAAGTCATCCGACTTTAGCCAAATCCATACAAATCCAATCCAATTCATTCTTGTATGGAAACAACCTAATTTTTTATCTCGGTTTTTTGGTTGATATTCCTTGTATTTTTTAATATCCCCGAGCACCTTTAAAGTTTAACGGAAGCACCTTTCGTACCCCAAAAATTTTATACTTATGAAAATAAGTTGAACGAGTGCATGGGACCTTGCTTGAGGCTTAATAGTCCCACCCTACCTGTGAGGGAAATGACTCTTACTGGTTAGTGCTTATTAGGTAAAAAACGCTTACAAATAATCAATTTTGATGACCAAAAATGTTACTTAACTAAAATAAGGTGGTCACTCTTGCCGTGAAAAAACTTACTCGGTAAACATTTAGTAAACCACACTAAGTTTGATTTTGGCTTTTTAGATGTGATTTTCAAATTATATCTGATCTTTTAGTTTGACATCTCAGAGTTATCTTTGGCAAAATAATAAACTATATGGTAATGTAAAATAACATATAAATTATGTAAAAAAAATTAATTGAAAAACTATAAGTGTAATGAGCGATAAGAATAATGCTAAAAAGTCGTTTTAATGGAGTTTAAAAAAAAACCAGTTTGTAACAAATTTAAAAAAGGAAGTTAGCTTATGATTGCTAATATGGGTGAGCATAGGCGGGTATCCGCCCTATTTGACATGAACCGGAACCGGTTATAGTGGTTCTTGAATTTTTGGAACTGGAACCGCCGGGAACCGGTTCCGGTTCCGGGTACCCGCTTTCTAAAATATTAAAATTTTGTTATTTAAAAATAAAAAATAAAATATTGCCAAAACACTAAATAAATAAACAATAATACAAATTATACAAAATAATAGTTACAAATATTGTTTAACGATTACAAATCATAATAGACTAATAGTAAACGTTGAAAGTTTAACGATTACATACTATAATTGTAAATATTGAAAGTTTAAGTATTACATACTACGAATCCAATTAAACACACAATTTGAAAAAATACGAATCATTTTATCTCAAATTCTGAATCTCGTTTCAACTTCTTGCGTACCCATCGCATCCTCAAACTCGTTTGGTACCTGTGAATTCTGATGGAGGGAAGGAGGGGAGAGCCAGGGTTACTGGGTTAGATGACGGCGAGTCGTATGGAAGGAACTATGAAGATTCATGTAACCTAATTTAAATTTGGTATTAAAAATTTAATTATTTTTTTATTGAAAAATACCGGGTACCCGGCGGGTAACGGTTCTGAAAAATTAAGAACTGGAACCGAAATCATTCTCAATCGGCTCCGTATTTTAAGAACCAGAACCGACGGTTCCGGTTTCGAAAATAGGTACCCGATTCCGCTGCTTACCCCTAATTGGTAAACATGATCCATCATTAATCAATCCATAGAATCAACTCTCGAATAGTTGAAGTACTACCGTAACATGCAATAAATTTTTGGTTTTGACGATACCTTTAATTAAACATTTAATATGGTCGACTTTCTTAAAATTCTTATGAAAAGAGAAAAAAATGCAATTTTTATCACCAAGTATCCAAATATTAACAAGACACGATATTTATCGACTTGTATTGATTTATCATCGTTAAATATTTACAGAAGTAGATGACATAGTTTCAAATTAGAAATAGGTTAAATAGAGCCATTTATCAAATGCTCATTGGATATGTGTTTATCGATAGTAGTCATCACTCTCAGTTGTTTTATGGGATAGCATTTTTCACTTAACGACGTTAGTTAGGAACCGTTATGAAAGACTAACTGATCTTTAAACAAACTATAGGGACCAGAAGTGTAATCTGCTCTAAAATTTAATGTGATTCACGTTTTTTAGAAATATTTTATATATCCATCACAAATCAAATATCTTAAAATAAAATACATATTAAATAAAAATATTTTTTTTGAAGTATATAATATTTATATGCGACAAATGTAATAAATAAACTCACACACCTTCCTCATCTATGATGAGGTTTGAATCCCTGACCTTCTAGAAGGCCAAGGGCTACGATACCGCTAGGTCACAGGCCCTTTGGTTTATATTTATTTGTTGTAGTGATGGTTTTTCTTACTTGTTAGAATAATTAGTGTCTTTTAAATATTAATTTATTAATTTTTATTTTGTTGTTATTTGAATTATTTGTGGTTTGACTAAACATAAATAATCTCACGTTAACCGCACTTAATCTTCAATATTTTGCTTACATATTTTAATTCTCAACTCAAAAGATATGTGACTTTATCTTGATTACTTTTTTTTTTAAACTTGAGATTTTTGTAACGCTAATTTTTTTGTGAATCTAATAGTTTTAATTAATATAAATATTTTTATTGATATGTACTTCATTTTAAGAAATTTGATTTGTGATTTCAATAATAAAATATTTTTTTAATAAAAAAAAAAACTCGTGTATCATATTAAATTTTAGATAGATTATAAGTTTGTTTCTTATAGTTTGTTCAAAGACCGATTAGTCCTTCATAAGGACTGCTAACTAGCTTCGTTAAGTGGAATGACAATGGATATTATGAAAATAAAAAGTTAAGGACCATCAATGTAGATATTTTTTTTAGAAAACAATTCCAAATTTTGAACAAACCACATGAACTACCGGTGTAATTCACTCTTTAAATAATTATTTTTTAAGTTGCTTTTGCTTATGATTATATAAAAGTTAGGGCATTTGTGTTAGCAGTTTAATGAGTGTAATAAGACTCGTAGCTTATTTAGTCATCTGTAAAATGCATGTTTTGGTAATTGGTAATGATATAATAAATTGCTTATCCAATTAGCTTTTAGAAGAAAATTTTACACAGAAAGTCAAGTTTCTCTTAAATCTTCCACTCCCAACTAAAAAGTGAGTTTTTTTCGATCTATAAAACATTATCGTTTCTAAGAAATATATAAAACTGTATTATAAAATTGACAGAGACAAATAATAAAACGAAATATTAATATCAAAATATATCTTGTTGTATTACTAGAGTACTCTTCTAGTCATGTTTAAAGAATTCCTATTTATTTTATTTTGAAGTAATAAATTTTATAAAATTAATGACATGACCCTGTTTATATTATTTCAAAAGCTTCGAAACAGTTGATCGTTTGAGGATTCGAATCACAGACGCAAAACGCCAAAGATGGGAAATTCCAACCCACATTCTTCCTCGCCCATCGCGAACTTCTTCCGTGCCCCCAAAATCCCACCAACAGATTCCGGCTAACTTCTTTCTCTCAGATCCCACCTCCGATCTCATCCTAACCATCTACAACACCACCACCGCCACAACCACCCAATTCGGATTCACCGTCGCTCGTCGCTCTACTGGCGATATACTCTTTGATACCTCTGCCACTGTTCTCATCTACAAGGATCAATACCTGGAACTAACATCTTCACTTCCGGCTGACCGGTCCTCCATTTACGGCCTTGGGGAGCATACCAAACGTTCCTTTAAATTAACACATAATCAGACGCTAACCCTTTGGAATGCCGATATTRGAAGCGMGAWMCCTGATCTCAATCTATATGGATCACATCCGTTTTATATGGATGTCCGATCGCCGGATTCTGATGGTAGAGTGTTGGCGGGTACCACTCATGGTGTCTTGTTGCTCAATAGCAACGGGATGGATATTGTGTATAATGGTGATCGTATCACGTATAAGGTAATTGGGGGTATTATCGATTTCTATATCTTTGCTGGGCCGTCGCCGGAATTAGTCATGGATCAATACACTGAGTTCATCGGCCGGCCGACTCCCATACCCTATTGGTCCTTCGGTAAGTTAATTTGCAATTTCTACATTCATTCATAGGGTTTTAATATTGAACTTATTCATTTCCAATTTGAAATTCACATGATCTGTTTACCCTTTTTTCCTCTTTAATGTCTAGGAATCCATAGTTCTTGAAGGTGAACATGAATGAAACCTTTTATGAATTGTGACCTGTATGTAGGGTACTATAAGTTAATATTTAATTGCTTAGTTGGCAAAAGGGCGGAGCTACATTGCTCATATACACAACAGGTTCAAGTTCGAAGGCTTGAACCACTCCACTAGCCTCAATCGCTAAGTCGACTCTGAACATGTGGTTCCCGGGGGCCGGGTTCCGTGTAGGGCCGTTCGCGGATGCCAGTATTCAACCTTTTGCTCAAATATTCATTTGCTTATGGGTACAGGGTTCCATCAGTGTCGATGGGGTTATAAAGATGTTGATGCTCTTGAGGGTGTTGTTGCTGGCTATGCAAAAGCCAAGATCCCCCTGGAAGTTATGTGGACAGATATAGACTATATGGATGCTTATAAAGATTACATATTAGACCCCATCAATTTCCCCTTGGATAAAATGTCAGCATTTGTTCAAAATCTTCACCAAAATAATCAGAAATATGTACTCATATTAGATCCAGGTACTGATTTCTTTCTTTTCTTCCATGCACAACTTTTTATTATATATACCATTCTATGTGAAAAATTGCACAACATCCCTCACTGCAACAAAATGGACGACAAATATGTCTAAATGTTCTAATAAACTGTTTCATAAAACTTTACACATAGGACCAAACAATTGTGCGTCATATGTAAAAGTGTTACAATAGGATGTTAACATGTATTTGAGCATCCTAAAAACATGTTTGAAATAAAGTGTCTTATTAGCTTTTTATAGGACCCCTTGTTTTTATTTTATAAGAGTTTTTCAAATAATGTCATATAAAAAGACTAATATGGCGCTTCATTTGGTATCTTAAAAATTTGTTAGGATGCCAAAAAGCGTACTATCACCTTTAAAAGGGACACCCAGTTGTTTGGTCCTATAACCGTAGGTTCTATAATGCAATCCATTAAGATACATAGACATATTGCTCGTCCTATAAAGCCGATCTTGTTGCAGTGCCTATAAAGATTGTTGTTTGAAATGTTACAATGGGGTTGCTTTCAAGTAAAGCTTGTATATTACTCTAATGGTATTAATGTTCTTTATGGGTAGGCATCAGTGTTAATACGACCTACAAAACTTACATAAGAGGACTGCAAGCAGATATTTATATAAAGCGCGATGGTATACCTTATGTAGGTGAGGTTTGGCCTGGTATTGTTAATTTCCCGGACTTTTTGAATCCAAAAGGCGCAACCTTTTGGGGAGATGAGATCAAAAGGTTCCGTGATCTTCTACCCTTTGATGGCATCTGGCTTGATATGAACGAAGAATCCAATTTCATATCCTCCCCTCCATTTCCCTTATCTAAACTCGATAATCCTCCCTATAAGATTAACAATTCAGGTGTCCAAATGCCCATCAATAATAAAACTGTGCCTGCAAGTTCTCTTCATTTTGGCAACATCACCGCCTATGATGCCCATAACTTGTATGGATTTTTGGAGGCCAGGGCAACGAAAGAGACGTTGATCAAAATAACGGGCAAACGGCCATTTATACTTTCTAGATCAACATTTGTTGGATCTGGGATTTATACAGCACATTGGACCGGAGACAATGCTGCAACATGGGATGACTTGGCGTACTCCATTCCAAGCATCTTGAATTCTGGGTTATTCGGGATTCCAATGGTTGGTGCGGATATATGTGGTTTTTCAAGAAACACTACTGAAGAACTATGCCAGCGGTGGATTCAGGTATAATGTTCGTGAACCTTTTGACTTCAACAAATATTTGAATGCACAAAGCAAATATTCTCTTCGTCCTAAAATAAGTGTCCATTCTATTTTAGTTTGTCTTAAGATATGTATCTGCTTTCAAAAGTAGGTGTCTGCCTTCCAATTATACCCTTGATCATGAGATGAAGAAATTAATTACTCCCTCTTTTATTAAGGGTAAATTTGTCATTTAATTTAAAAAGTGTTATAATTACACATATCTAAAATTGTGTCTTTTTCGTTGTGGACATATATTTTGGGAAAAGGGAGTATGAGATTTCAAGAAGTAAAATAGTTCAGATTTCAAAATGTAATATTTTGAGGTTTTTTTCGAAAGTGAACATATGGGTACTGTTGATTTCATCGACTTTGTTTACATTGCCTAGACATGGACCATCAAACCTGTGTACATGTAGCAATCTCTTTTCTCTCTAAAAGGGCTCTTTCAGAGAGAGATTCAACGATATTCTACATATACTCATATGGTATCATAGCCACATAAACCACATCTAGGGACCCAACAAACTATTTCACCTCCATTCTAGGGGGTACTGTCTAGTCTTCATTTGAGGGGGCTGTTGGAGTCCCATATCGGTTAGACTCAGACAGAGATTCAAAAGGGCTCATCTAGAAAGAGATTCAAAAGGGCTCATCTAGAAAGAGATTCAAAAGGGCTCCATGTATTCTAACAGACATTTTTAATTCACAGCTTGGTGCTTTTTATCCGTTTTCAAGGGACCATTCCGACAAGGAGAGCACAAGACAAGAGCTTTACCTTTGGGATTCTGTAGCTGCAACATCTCGAAAGGTCCTTGGCTTGCGCTACCAAATGCTTCCTTACTTGTACACATTAATGTATGAGGCACATTCGAAGGGGACTCCCATCGCACGACCTCTATTCTTCTCATTCCCTCAAGACACCAAGACCTACGATATTAGCACACAGTTTCTCCTTGGCAAAAGTGTATTAGTGTCACCCGTTTTAGAGCCAAAAACAGTCTCGGTTGACGCTTACTTCCCATCTGGCAACTGGTTCGACCTATGGAACTATTCTAATTCGATCAGTGTGGACTCCGGGACTTATGTTAGGCTCGATGCACCAGCTGATCATATAAACGTTCATATCCGTGAAGGGAACATATTAGTTTTACAAAAAGAAGCTTTAACGACAAAGGCCGCTAGGGAGACGCCATTTCRYTTGCTGGTTGTGGTTAGYCGCAGTGAGAATAGCACCGGTGAGGTCTTTCTAGACGATGGGGAGGAAATCGAATGTGGTGGGGAAGGTGGGAGGTGGACGTCCGTAAGATTTTCCAGCCAAGTTGTGGGGAAAAAAGCAATGTTAAGATCGGAGGTTGTGAATGGAGATTATGCGTTGAGTCGAAGGTGGATTATTGAAAAGGTGACGTTTATTGGGTTGGAAAATGTTTCAACCACGAAGGGTTTTCTGCTATGTCGGAATGCGAGAGCGGGAGTGTGTAGCGGAAGAGTAACGGTTGGTGGCGGTGGTGGGCGGTTTGGTATGGCAGAGATCTCGGGTTTGTCTTTGTTGATAGGGGAAGAGTTCGATTTAACGTTCAACCTTGACTAATAATTTCGTTTTTGCCACCTTCAACCCACTGTCAGATCAGGAATATACTGAGTTTGTTGATATAATGTTGTACTATCTATTTAAAAAACTCGTATATTAATAAAAATAAGAGTAAACGTTGGTTTGCTAAAAATTACTATTTTCGTTCCTAATCTTTTGAATATAAAAGTTTGAATACATTGCAAAATACAACCGCCACTCCGTCAAGCATAAGTGGATAACGGGGATTTTTTAAGCATAGTCAATGGGACGAAAAATATATTAATTAGAAACTACAAGGATGAAAATTGTAATTTTTAAAACATAAGGGTTAAAATAACAATTTTCACAAACACAGGGATGAAAACAAAAACAAGTTAGAAACCATAAGGACTAAAACCATAAATTTAAAAACACATGGATGAAAAACTGAATAACTGATAAGATTCTTGGTTTTTATCATATTCATCCGGTAAAGTAATGTGGCTTGGTAACTGCTTACTTTGATAAGTGTTTGGTAAACGACTCATAAATCTAAATTTTGTAATGCATTGGAGTGTTTTATCGGTAAGGTGATTTGGACCAATTTATCAGATTTTGATATTATTAATCATTTCGTGCATCGTCGTGTTATAAATGTGCTGACTAAACCTATTGATAGCAGAGTCATCGTGGTTGTATTTTTGCTTTGAAAATGTGTCATTTACTTAACACCGTTAAAAGAGAAGAGAAATCTCTTTAACTTTTGCACTCTATGAATTCAAACCTTAATCAACATAATCACCCAATGCTTTCCGACAACATAATCTACATAACCAAAAGTTGCACAACAACATACATCATTCCGAATTAGTTTTCGAACGTAATTGCATTTCATCACTTTTAGACCCATTTCACTGTTAATTGTTAATACCAGATATACACTTTAGACTAAAGACTCATCGGAATGATAACAACCCTTTTAGTTTTTTTCATGCATGATCCGAAAGACAATTCTAGGTTTTGTGGTTTTGAATGTGGTTTAATTATGTAATTTACAAGTTCACCATAATTGTTATTGACCCAATGACTCCTGTAATTTGTTTGTTTATATTCTTAAATAGAGTGTCTTTTGTATAGATCCTGAATTAAATTATGACTGTAAATTTGTTGAATTTTAGAAAGCATTTGTGAAGTTTAATGTTCGTACAAGTGAATAACCTTTAGGGTCTATTGTTTTTGAGAGGATATGAAGGTTATTCGCTTGTTCTTCTTATAGGAAAAGTAAGCTTCGTAAATGCTTTATGAAATTCAACAAAATTATAATGGCTTGAAGTCAACCTCCATGGCCATAAGGGCTTTGACAACGTTTGGATTCAAACCTGGAGTAGATGAGACTTTCCACTACATCCCTTGAAGTTTAATCATTGTACCACAACCCAAATGATTATTAAACAGTAATTTCCTAATATCAGGTAATGAACAATTTTATTGTATTAAACCAAATACCATTAATATTTTATATTTCAATCTCAATCCGTTATTAACCCCAACCAAGCATGAATCACACCTTAATTGGTCAAATATAAAAATGGTGGATGGTTAATAATTAAGAAAATAATAGCCGTCTCCTTTTGGTCGTGATTCTTTCATGAGTGGGTGCACAACTGCTCACGCATTTCACAATCTGAAACTAAATCAAAACAATTTTTTAAGGGTATTTTTTTAAAGTATATAATATTCATATACGTCAAATGTAACCAATAAACTCACACATCATCCTTCTCTATGGTGAAGTTTGAATCTCTGACCTTTTAGGAGGCCAAATATTACGATATTGTTAGGCCAGAGGTCCTTTAGTGCAATATTTTTTTCTTTCTATTGAACCAAAATAACTAAATTCCGTAAGTGTCAATTTTACAATTTGTCAAATATACTTTTTTGAATTAAATATGACTCTTGTGATGTTGACTTGCGAAATGAACACGATCGCTTGTAAAAAATGTAGTTTTGACCCTTGGTGGCGTGCCGAATGACTCGTTGCAATCATATTTTACTAAAAGATACATTTTGTAAGTTGCGAAATGGGCATTTGCAAAATCTTTCCTATTTTGGTTCGTACAAGAAAAAAATGAGGTAACAAGTGAAGAGGTTTGTCGAAGATGACAAGTTTGGTAAAAACATACATTATCTTAAATATAATTAATTCTTTAATCAAACGAATCATACAGAAAAATGAGTAATTAATTCTCTTTATTTTGATACCCATATCGATATATCTTTTAACCTAGTTTTCAAAATCTCGGTCACCAATATATCTGTATCTGGACATATTCATACTAACACATTTACTAGCATATACACAATTAATTAAATCTCCATATTTGAACTCCATAAACACTTCCAAATACTATCATAAGGTTCAAGTTCGAAACCTACACAAGACCTATTGGAACCCTTTAAGGCCTAAATCTAGCCTCACTCGTTGAATTAACTTTGAAATGCCTCAGCACATGTGATTTTGTATGGGGCTGATCGGAATTGTCGGTAATCAACATTTTGCTCAAATATTATCATAAGCGTTGTGCGCTATTTATACGACAAAATATGTCATAAAACTGATAACCACCCGAAGTCTCACTTACTTTCTCAGAACAAGATGGACTGTAGAATAAAATAAGATATAAATCAAAATCGAAGGTTCAGGTCTCACCTTTAGAAATAAACTGCATTGAACGAATACACTTCTCATTTAATACTCCATTAATTTACTAATTAGTACTTTATATAATATAATTATATTTTGATCTCTGTAAATAAGTTATATTATGTAATTAGTATAATTTTTAAGAGCAATTAAGTGTATAATCATGAATACAGTTCCATTGATGTAATTGACAATTTTTTTTAATTATTTTAATTTTTAGTTATACATTTTTAAGAAATTGTTGAAGAGTTATAACCGTAGTAAGTTTCGTTTTTTGATTTGTTTGTCATGTTTTAAATCATTTAAAAATAATTAGTTTTTAAAGTAAATTAAATATATAAAAATCAAATCCATTAATACTTAAATATAAACCTAATTTATAATATATCTATACTACATCAACAAACATTTAAACCAAAGTCTTAAGTACAAGTATTTAAGCACAAGGTACAACCATTTTATTAAGAATTTCAAAAATTTCTTAATTACAACCCATAAAGCATTATGTACAAGTTTTTAATACAACACCATCAATATCATCCAAACCGAAAGTCTTAGTTTTGCTTTATTCTTTCCATCTCCATTTCCTCCCCTTTTTAGCTTTAGACCTAGTAAAATCATCTTCCTAAAAATGTTTCATGGTCTCAGTTTTTGGAGGTTTTCTCAGACTTCAACTAAATTTAAATTCAAATTTTTGTAATGAGTTCTAAGTATATGGGTTTAGAAACTCAATATGTGTGCAATTATTTTTTCATTCGGTTATGTTTATACACCATATTAACCATCAAACTTTATATATTAGTTGACTTGCAAAACAACTACATAAACTTATAATTCAAGGATAAACTAATGTTTCAGAATTGTGATTCACCCGCTGCATCACACGGATATACCACTAGTACTTACATAAGTAGCTTCTAAAAACTCTTAAACTTAGTTTTTAATAAATAAGAATATATAAACCTTAAATTAAATATTTGAACATTTGTTTGATAACTACTTTTTACATTAGCCACGTTGCACTTTAAAATTGAGAATGCCCATTTTCCCCCTATATTAGGACACACAAGGGCATTTTGGTAATTAAAAGAGTAAAGCAGGGGCTGTTCTGGTATAGCTGCTAACTTTTGTTACAGTTCATCTTCTTCGTTAGCAAGCGGGCCTCATATCTCTGCCATCTGCCACTCTCTCTTCCCCTTCTTAAAACCAATAGCGATACATTTAGATAGATACAGTGATACACACACACACACACATAGAGAGAGAGATGTGGCGGTGCGTGTCACGTGCGATTCGCATTCCTTCCCGGAGATCCACCTCCGGCGACTTTCTTTCACGCAGATTCTTCTCTTCTGAATCGGTATTCTCTTATTAATCTATGTTTGTGTTATTATTTGTTTTGATATAGTCGAAAGTTAGGTTTTCTTGTGGAGCTGAGATGGATCTACGACATAATCGTATTCCAATCATCATGCAATTTTTTTTTTTTCATTTTTTAGTTATCGAAGCGTCTTTTAGTTTTGATCGTATGTAATTCATTAACTTTTTGTCAAATTAATGATAATTTTCTTGATAGATTGTTGATCTTATGTAATTTGATTACCACACCGAGAGTTTTGAGATTTACTGTGTTTGGAATGTGTGCGTGTTCTTTTTAAATCGTGATTTTGGATGTCCCTAAACAGAATGTGGGGCGGTCAGCATATACAATAGTTGATCATACATACGACGCGGTTGTGGTTGGAGCAGGAGGTGCTGGTCTCAGAGCTGCGATAGGGCTATCTGAGCATGGATTTAATACTGCTTGCATTACCAAGTTGTTCCCAACACGCTCTCACACTGTTGCAGCGCAGGTTTGTGGTCTTTTTCTATATATTTAGTTCTATTTCTGCAGATAGCGTTGTTTATATATTTGATAAATTGACACAAAAAGTTTGCAACTTTACATTCTAGGTTTTATGTGATCCTACAAACCTCTTTTAACAATCGACTTATTTAGCCTTAGGGATTAGAAGCAAAAAAGTTGGGTAAGTAATGAAGGAAAGGACGACTAATCACATGACTTGGAAACCCATCACTTCTTTTCACGTTGCAATTTGAATAATTGGCCCATCATCACTTTTTCCTTTCTACCAAATAAGTAGTTTTAAGTCTAGATTTATATGTTACCACACTAAGAGTTTTCTGAGATCTCCAATTGCAAACATGACACTTCTTTATGAAGTGGTCATTGTAATTTTATTTCCTTTTGGAACTTGAAAGAGGACTCTAATGGCCCTAGATCTATTGCCACCATAAAAGCAGTTAAAAACTCGTCTAATGTGCCAAGTGATCTATTGATAAAATCGAAGACCATTTTTCATTAAGATATCATATAGAAATTTATGATTGAAGGCTGGTGTTTCAAAGCATGCTCCCATACAATTATATCATTCTCAGGTCTTTACTTTGCCTTGGGATCTTGAATTATGACCCATAACTAGCAGTAAATTATGGTATACATTGGGGCCACACTCTTTTCTCTGTCACCTTAGTAACTTATTGAGTTATTGTCCATAAATAATTTTACATTATAGAAAATAATTATCCCTCGAATTATGATGAATTGTTGCACTAAGCCCCGACATCTCTTGAGCTAAAAGCTTTGGTCGTTGACAATGTAATGTGGTTACAGTAAGATAACGAAAAGTTAAGGACTCCCACATCAAATGCTTGTCCTGTTTCCAAGCACATGTACGCTGCCCTTCCTTGATGTAATCAAGTTAATTTCTAATACTGGGTTGGATGCATTTCTTTTCTCAAGTAAGTTTAGCTTATTTCCATTTATATGATAAAATCTCAGTTGAGTTGCATTTTTTAAATGCATGCAGGGTGGTATAAATGCTGCATTAGGAAATATGACCGAGGATGACTGGAGGTGGCACATGTATGACACAGTTAAGGGAAGTGATTGGCTAGGTATTTCTCTTTACAGATCAAGACTCTTGTTGACTCCTACTGTTTCTTTCTAAGGCAGTACTTGACATGTATGGACTCTATCAAAGTTATGAAGTCCAGTTGATCTGTATTGTGTTGATACATTATTTCAGATTCAGATTGCGTCTGTTCCTCTTTGTTCTCTTTGGACTCATGTTCTATCTCATGAAAAATATTGTTGCAAGAGAATGTTTTATCTTTTCATAACAAAGGTTTGCATTTCTATAGGTGACCAAGATGCTATCCAGTATATGTGTAGAGAAGCACCAAAAGCAGTTATTGAGCTTGAAAATTATGGTTTGCCATTTTCTCGAACTGAAGAGGGAAAGATATACCAACGTGCATTTGGTGGTCAGAGTCTCGACTTTGGCAAAGGTTTGATATGATGGTTCTCTATTGATCAGGTATCAATGGAATCTATCCACATTTAACTGCCTTAATATTATATTATAGGGGGCCAAGCTTATCGTTGCGCCTGTGCTGCTGATAGAACCGGGCATGCATTGTTGCATACATTATATGGACAGGCCATGAAACACAATACACAGTTCTTTGTAGAATATTTTGCTTTGGATCTACTCATGGGTAGTGATGGTATGTTAAACTTTGTTTTTTCGATTAATTTTACAGTCAAATATTGTCGATGGAATAATGCCAGGAAGTCTGGTATTGAATTAGCTTATCCTATTGATATTTACGGTGGAATGATATGCCAGATAGAAGGCTGAAAGTACAATATAGCTTGTACTTACTTTATCTATATGGCATGGTGATGGTTAGACATTCTGTAGTAGCTGGTAGATCATTCTGTCCAAAGAGAAAAGTGGGAAAGTTGTGTTCAACAGCCAGACTTGCTTATAAATTTAATCTCATATTTGAACGTAATGCATCTCTGCATGACAAGGAATTTCTGGTTTTGAACTTTTAGCACCCGACTTTCTTGAAGAAGATAAAATTCTCTCTTGCTTACTATACTCATGAGCATGAAATTTCAAATTATTGCTTCTACAACCATATGAAAGATTGGTCTTTTTCCCTGATGTATCCTCTGATCAACTCAGGGGTCATTGAGACGATTGACAGCCATTTATTAAAGATTTACATCTTTGATCTATCATTTATCATATATGCGCAGGCCAGATCATCAATCTAACTTTATTTTGTGCTTTAATTTGGTTTTTTATATATTTTGAAAAGTGATTTGATCATATAAGTGATTTTTATCAGGTAGCTGCCAAGGTGTTATTGCGCTGAACATGGAGGATGGGACACTACATCGGTTCCGCTCTTCGTCAACAATCTTGGCAACGGGGGTGAATATTTACTAATCGAGCTTTATTTGGTATCTAGATAGGCAATCTCATTATTAACTTATCCCCTTTTTTATTCTCAGGGTTATGGTAGAGCATATTTCTCAGCAACCTCTGCTCATACTTGCACAGGAGATGGAAATGCTATGGTTGCACGTGCAGGCCTTCCTCTTGAGGTATACTAAATCTTATTTCATCATCCCATGGATTTTTCTTGATATTTGGATACAATCAGTATATTTGGCTGTGACTCCTTGTTTCAGGATCTTGAGTTTGTACAATTTCATCCAACTGGTATATACGGTGCTGGGTGCCTCATTACTGAAGGTTGGTGTATTTTTGTTCTCACTATCAATGAGAGATAGCTTGAAGCTTATTTATAACATGGTTTATCTCATGCCTCGTGTAGGATCTCGCGGTGAAGGTGGTATTCTAAGGAATAGTGAAGGCGAAAGATTTATGGAACGATATGCCCCTACAGCAAAGGATCTTGCATCAAGAGATGTTGTTTCAAGATCTATGACCATGGAAATCCGAGAAGGTCGTGGTGTAGGTATGTTTCATGACCAACCTCATCTTAACTGCCAAAAGTGGTTGGTCATTTGTCTGTGCTAGTATAGTATAGAGCATTTGCGAGCGCACTTGTTGAGTTACTTCAATAATATCTGATTATCCCAGAAGGCATACTGAAGTTTCAATTTAAATGTACAATGATATCTTATGGACAAAGGACTCGAGAAGCTGGCTATGAATATTTCAATCTTGTGCAGACAGTGATTTTACAAAATGATAAATTACATGGAATACTGTTTTAAACCAAACTCATGGAATACACATCATTTGGCAACCTTCTAGTGGAAATGAATGAGCTGTATAAAGCTAAGTTTGCATCAGTAGCTCCAATGCTATATCTTTATTTGGCAAGTGGCAACAATACATCTGCAATTGTGGTTTACAATTGCCAAACTCTTCATATTCATCTGCCTTTAATACGAGTAGAAGAAAAAAGCCATGGAAAATTATTTTTCTTGCGAAGTAGACATTGGAGTTCTACTTGCTGCAATTTTTCACTGAAAGATGCATGATTCTCTTAGTGTTTTTTATATAATAAAGACTTAGTAGTCACATGGTAACTATTTTATAATCCCTGTTTAAATACTTCTACCCTTCCATGCATTGTTTTGTTTTTGGAAGAACTTCTCTTCTTTGGCAACTGATTTGGATTGTATGTAAACTTGTTTCTCCGTGTTCTCCTCGATAATTTATTGTTCAAACATCATGACCAAACAATAAGATCTTAAGTTTTTGTTGGTATTCTTTTGAATTTCTATTTTTTCTATGTGATCATATCTAAAGCTCAATCAGGTATAAGAATTCATAATATTATGTAGCAAGAATTGGAAGGACATGTTGTGATCACATTAGTGTGACCTTAATGCCAACCTCTCGCTACTTGATGCCGAGAGTTCTGCAATGGGCTGTCATCTTTTCAAGTTGTTACAATACTAATGCAGAGTGAGTAGTGCATTTAGCGTGTGCGTCTGTGTGCCTGCTGTGACAGGATGTTAGAATATTGAAACAGTGATACTTACGGATTAGGAGATAAAGGTGTAGTCATATGTTGACTGAGGCATTCTTCTTTAGTTCCAGTCACCAAACCCTGTTTACGTTATTAGTTGATCATCAATTATTATTTTGCAACTTCTGCTAGGTCCCAATGGTAAGTATGAACCCATTGCTGTGCCTGTGGTTGAACTTATTCATGGCAATGATGTCCTAACAAAAATATTCTGAAATTTATGTTGGTACACACTATACAAATATGATGCTTGTAGGACTTCATGCCACTTACCAAATCTTGTAGCAAATATATGTACTTAATCGGACTTCCTTTCAATAGGGCCAATGAAGGACCACATTTATCTTCACTTGAATCACCTACCACCAGAGGTTCTCAAGGAGAGGCTTCCAGGGATCTCTGAAACTGCTGCCATCTTTGCCGGCGTTGATGTTACAAAGGAGCCAATTCCAGTTTTACCCACTGTGCATTATAATATGGGCGGGATCCCAACTAATTACCATGGGGAGGTAGATCCTTGTATGCACAATTGTATCATGAATTAGAAATGCACAAAAGCCTGAAGCTCGGCCTGAAAAATACCCCCAGTACCACGCCAGGCCTAAAAGCCCAATCGGGGGCATTTTATTTTCTTTTCAAAAGCCTGAAAAAGTTTGTAAAGCTCAACCTGAAAAAACCCGATCGGGCCTATTTTCACACCCTCAGAAAAGTCCGGGCTCTTCTTTTTGGCTTACTGAAAACGGCGCGGGCCTTGTGCATCTCTATGACATGAACCATGTTCGTTTCAGTGGTAGATGCAAGTTAGAGGACTTATTATTAATCATCACCTTTTCTTATTACAGGTTGTTACCATCAAGGGGAACGATCCTGATGCTATTATTCCCGGACTTATGGCTGCTGGAGAGGCAGCCTGTGCCTCCGTTCATGGTGCCAATCGGCTTGGTGCAAATTCTCTTCTTGATATTGTTGTTTTTGGTCGAGCCTGTGCAAATAGAGTTGCAGAGATCCATAGACCAGGTGATTTTGTCTTGCAAGTTCTGTGCTCATAGTTTTCTAAAAGAAGTGCATCATATGACCTCATGTTGCTGCTGTACAGGGGAAAAACAAAAACCTTTGGAAAAGGGTGCTGGAGAGAAGACTATTGCATGGTTAGACAAGATCAGGAATTCAAATGGTTCACTTGCTACCTCCAAGATCAGGTTGAATATGCAGCGAATCATGCAAAACAATGCTGCTGTATTTCGCACACAGGAGACGTTAGAAGAAGGTACTGCAGATCTTTTTGTGGGCTCACATAATTGCATGGTTTTTTACTGGCCCAATTTGTTCCAGTATTTTCTCTACTTATTTGTGTAACCTTTTTTACTGTTTATGGTTTAATAATCATCTTTTTTACTTTATTTGACCTAAGCTTATCCCTACTTTTCAACTTCTTTCAAGCTTTTTGAAAACTCGGTTTTCACAAAAATATTTTTGCAATCACTTCGTCGGAGCGTCCTCATGAAAATGACAGCTCTATTATCTAGGGTAGAGGACAGATCTGCCTACTTCCCATTCCTAGACCCTACTCCTGAGTGAGACTGAGTGTGTTTGGTTTACATAAATGCATGGTTTTGCATGAAATGGTACCAAACCAAACAAACACAATATATCCCTGGGGAGGGTGAGATGTAGGCTTGACCTCATCCTAAGGAATAGAGTGGCTGTTTCCATGAAGATTCCCGGCTTTGTGCAAAGTGTTCAGAAAAAATGGATAAAGCTTGCTAAAAAAAATTGTGGATAAAGAGCATCAGAAGAATAAGAAAGGAAACTTGCAGTGTTAAATTTTGAAAATTGACTCAGAAGTAAGTGACAAAATTCAAACAAACAAGCAAACAAAACATACAAACTGAAGCCAGTACAAGAAAAACATAACCAAGATAGGAAGGACTGCCCACCCCCTAGTCTAACTTAGGATTCAGGATAACTCTACCCAATCCTCTCTCTCTCTCTCTTAAATAGTACATGTTCATCTAACCTTATGCTCAATAACCTATCACCCCTCTTGTATTTATGTGTTGCAGGTTGCAATCTGATTGACAAAGCATGGGAGAGCTATCATGATGTTAAACTGAAAGACCGAAGCTTGATATGGTAAAGTTTATATGTGACTTTTAACATTTGGTGTTTGATTATACTCCTTTTTCAAAGACATACTAGCTGAACATATATTTCAGGAACTCGGACTTGTTAGAGACCATAGAGTTGGAAAACCTCTTGATTAATGCATGTATCACCATGCATTCAGCTGAAGCTAGGAAGGAGAGCAGAGGAGCTCATGCCCGTGAAGATTTTTCGGTAAGTCTAGATTATTAGGTCTTTCACATTGGTTGTCCTCTTGACGCTTTCTCTCATAAAAATTCAAATTCCGTGCTTTTGCAGAAAAGAGATGATGAGAAATGGATGAAACACACACTGGGGTAACTCTCTCTCTCTCTCTCTCTCTCAATATATATATATATATATATATACACCCACACACACCATCAAACAAGATATGTACATAAGATGAATAATATAACAATATTGTGATAGAAACGTAGTGTAATAGGCAATGTATATAACTTGTGTTTGATTGTTAAAACTATATTTAACAAATAACTGACACTTGTATTGTCAAACTTCAACATATAAATATAACAAATACATTACATGAAAAAGAATCCGGATATCGGTTATTAGTGCATATAATTTGATAGATATATAGATTTTCATATATCCATTTCCAGCCCTAGATCAAATCTTGTGCAGTCATTGCTGATAGTTTCCAACCCGTATACACACACATGCTTGATACTGGTTTCGGCATGGGCAAAATGCATGAAAACGTAACGAATTTTGCCCTTGAGTTTCTATTTAGTATAACAATGATTTTTTTCTCATTTAGTCTAACAAACTTTTGATTCTTCCTATTTTGTACTCATTTTACTTGATAAACAGGTTTTCGGCCTACATTGCATCGGTTGATTTTGATGTGACAATTTTCACGTAATTAAGAATCATAATATAACTTGACATCCATGTCATCAATAACTACAAGATCTACTGGTCAAAGTGGGTACGAAACAGAAAGAATTGAACATTTATTACACGAATTAATAAGAACTCGTCGTTATACTAAATAGGAACAAAGACTAACTTTTTGGGAATTTGGCCTATTATTACAATTGAATAATGGACTGGGTTATCATCCAGGTTGGAAACTTGGATGTTAATGGTTACACTTTACCATATCAGAAAATGATGGATCCTTATTATATAAATAATCGTGGGTTGATCTTATGCAGATACTGGGAGAACGAGAAGGTACGACTAGACTACAGGCCGGTTCACATGAATACTCTCGATGATGAGGTCGAGACTTTCCCACCCAAGGCCCGTGTATACTAAAACCCCCATCTCACAAGAATCCTGCCGACAGGTTAGCATTTTGTTACCACAAATTTTGCTAATAAATTGTTGCATTTCATGCAAACCCTAATAACCTGCACATAACCCGTCTTTATTTGTATCCTTTTCTTTCTAGACTTAGAGCGTACTGCTTTGTATTTTGAATCATGATTTAAGCTTATTGGTTCGACCAGAAGTGGATCCCTGATTGATAACAATAAGATTGCAGTTTTGAAACTTAACAATAATCTCATTGATAGCTACCCTCCCTTCTTTGTATTGCAAAATGCACAAAATAGCAATCTACATTCATAAATTGAAGCATACAAACAAGCTTTGGAGTAAAGAAGGCCTGGGCCCAAACCATCCAAGCCCGTTTAAGAAAAAGAGCCTGTACTTTTTTTGGAGAGCGGATGATTGGCCCAGTAGGGTTTTTCTAAGGCTGGGCTTTTTCATACTTTTGGGCTTTCGAAAAAAATGGCCTGATCGGGCTCTAAGGCATGATTGGGATTCGGTACCGTGTTTGTGCTTCTCCGTCTTCTTTTGTATCGTCGTCTTCCATCATTCATGAGATATTTACGTAACATGGGCTTCATTTTGGTACTTGTGAAGTCTTTTACTCGATTGGATGATAAAGTTGTGATTAATTGGTGTTAGTTTGGTATTTTTGAATGAATTCTGAAATATTTGCTAATTTTTCACCATGTGCGTGATGGTAGCCTCTGTTTCTTAGGGGGCGTTTACCAAACGTTTACCCAAATAGGCGTTTACCAAACGTTTACCCAAATAGGCGTTTACCAAGTCACATTATTACCTTATTGAATGCATATGTCAATACCACGATACTTACCTGGTAAGCGCAAAAGTAAGGATTGAGAGTCTTACCCGGTAAGTGAGGGCGACGGTTTGTTACCATAGTCAGTGCTTACTGGGTACATTGTTGCATATAATGTCGTTTTGGTGGACTAAAATTTTACTTGATAAGTGAGTGATAGTGTTGAATTTTGCTGGTAAACACTTGTTAGGTAAGCGTTTCGAAAACTACCCTTAATCTCAACAAAATTGCAACAATGCAATGGACATTTTCATTCCCTTTACTGCTACTCTACTTTAAGTTTAACCAAGGGGGCCCCAATCGACTTGTCAAGAGATGGGTTAGGACCAAAACTATTCTAAATGACACGTGGACATGCCCGAATATTATAAATTTCATACATAAAGATAAAGAAGGGCTTATCATTTAAGAACCTCATATATTGTGATGATTACGAGAACTACTGTGGTAAAGTATTTGTTTTAGATATTTTTTCATTCTAATGCTAGAATTTAATATGTTCATTAACATATATATATTTCTCATTGTGTTTGTTTCATATATATTTAGTTCATAATGTGAAACTTTTTAGTTATACTTTTTGTTTTAAAAATGCAAAAAAATGTTCATATTGCGAAACAAGTATATGTTTATCAGTACACTAAATGGAAAATTTATCTTGTGAAATGGTACATGATGCAATGTATCGGTTTTTTAAGATTATCACAATTTTATAGGTTCTCAACTGAAGAAATAAATCGCATGATGTCCGAGCAAATTGCAAGTTCTTTCTTTGGTCACGAAATCGTTGCTCAAAGAGCTAAATATCATGATCATTTAAAAATGGTGTAGCCAAATGAAAGTGATAATGTTATTTAGCAAATAAATCAGTTTATTTAGGGGTCGTTTACTAAACATTTACTTGGTAAGTGTTTATTGGATAAATTCTTTTATCGGATGAACATGAGAAGGGTCAAGAATCTTACCCGGTAAGAGCAATAAAAAGGATAAAGAGTCTTATCCGGTAAGTAAGGATGACAATTATTACCTAGGTAAGCACTTATCCAGTAACTTGTTGCATTTAATATGTTTTGATTTACTAAAATCTTATGTATCAAAATAAATTATAATGTTGAATCATAATGGTAAGTAGTTACCGAGTAAACATTTAGATAAACGGCCTCTTAAAATCATCCTTGAAACTAATATATTGTTAGGACAGAAAAGAAAAGAAAAGTTGTAGAAATACAACCTACAGAAATAATTGAATTTACTATTTTTTTTAATAAGATATAATAAACGTACAGACCACAATCAAAATTATTAGATGGACGTTAGAAATCATTACATCTATGATTATGAGAGCAGCTTCCATCATGCTTCCTGTATTTAAATTAATGTTGGAATTTTTTTTTATAAAAATTAGCGTAGGGGGTTATTTTAACATTATTTTTTGGACAAATTGCATGAAAAAGTAAGTTACTTTAACTTGATTTCTATTTTGGGCAATGTACTATCATTTTGGTACCTAAGATGTAAAGTTTTAAATGTTTAAGTACCTAGGTAATCGGTTGAATATTAATTTTTGATTAAGAAAATCTATGTCACTAACCACATCATCAAATAATACTGAGTTGGATACCACATCACTCGTACATCAGCATGATAATTGGTTAATGCTTCAATCTGCTACATGAGTACTTAAATATTTAAAATTTTACATCTTATGTACCAAAATGAAAGTTTTGAAAGTACATTACCTAAAATATGAATCAAGTTAAAGTACGTTATTTTTTCATACAATTTGTCTTTATTTTTCTAACCATTTATCTAGGTGTTATTTTAAGAATTTATTGTGTATTTTAATGGGTATTAGTTACATGTTCTATTTATTAATAAAAATAAAGGAGCTTCCAACATGTAGGGAGTACGATAATGTGGGGAGTCAACCTAGGAATTGCATTGAAGTATTCTTATTTTTAATTAAAAGTTAACCGAATAAGAGTCATCATCCTCAGTTACTGGATGAATCAATATAATTTGGATAATGACATAAATCTATAATAGAAAATTGTTTAAAAAGCTAGACCTAATAAACCCATTATATAAATTATTGAGTTTTGGCTTATAAGTTATATAACGTGCTCATAATTTAGAATTTCACGATTAGTATTTTTTAGAACCGAAACAATACCGCTACATACATGAGCCACACATTCATCGTAAACATTCAAACCCCTTGAGGAATCATCAAACTAAAAGTTCCAATATTATAATTCCAAATCAAGAGGGTGCATTTTGTCACCATTAAAGAAACTACTTTGGTTCCCGATAGAGAGGGATTGGGATTTCATTCCATCAATTATTATAATTTTTTTTGAAGTGTATAATATACGGTAAATAGAACAAATAAAACTCATATGCCCTTCACACTTAAGGCGAGGTTTGAACTCTTGACCTTCTAGAATGTCAAGAACTCACATACCGCTAGGCCAAAGGCCCTGTGGTCAATTATTATAAACTTGCTTGTAATTAAAAGGGCAAATAGAAGTTGATAAGTGAAGAATCCATTGTTAACAAAAAGAACTAACTGCATGCATAACAAACATCCACTATTTTCCAAATTCATCACAAACTCGAAATGAAACCAAAATAATATCCGATAATGTACAAATTGAAATCATATAAAACCAATTGTGTATCACTGTAACAAAGGAGCAATCATTAATGGTCCGTTTGGTTTGTAAGATTGTTTTTTAGGGATTTGGATTTGGATTGGAATGGATTTGAAATTATTGATGTGTTTGGTTTGTAGAATTTGGAATGGAATTGGATTTCATTATTTATAAGTAATTTATAGAAATAATTTATAAAATAATTGAATTACATTTTTATTAATCGATTATTGCAAAACAAATGTTTTTAAGACCTTATTGCATACAATTTTACATAATCCCATGAAATCCTGAGCAGTCTCTGAGAATTTTGAATTCCTATGTTTGAAAGATTTCATTGTTTACATGAGTGTATGTCGATGTTAGGAATGAGGGTGATAATGTGAGACATGATTTTGTGTAATATATGAATGTGCATAGAGAGTAGTGTGTTTTAATAAGTTGTATCAATATAATAATAATTTGTAAATTTGAAAATTATGTAATTTAGTACTAATTATGGGATATAATGCTTAGAACCTATGATCCCAAATTTTATTAATTCACGTGATGTAGCGAGATACATCTCGATTTTAATGTTATATTTTATTATTTGTCTCTGACAATGTTATAATACGATTTTATGTGTTTTTAAGAAAAAAATAATGATTTTATTTTTGAATAAAATATAAATTTGAAGATATTGTAAAGATTTGGAAAAAAAAATATCAAATCAATTATTTAAAATTTCTCATTTTTATGTAATCTTTAATTTATTTTTTTATTATAATTTTTAAGTTTAATAACGAAATAATTTATTTTTGGTTTAATAATTAAATTTTATAAAAATAATAATTAAGTATTTTGTTAGAACTCAATGATTATCCTAATTATATTTTAATTTTTTATATTTAAAATAAGATGTTTATCATGTATTTGATTATGTTTATCTGCAGTTGGTTACACGAATTCAGATATGTAGCTTTAATAAGTTGTACTTACGCACAATCTATTTGTAATCTTGAGTTTTAAGTAATATGCATTAATAAATAGTATTTTACGCATAAAAGTGAGTTTTAAGAGTTTTTGTCAAATTCTTTATAATATAGTATAGATTATGTGTTTTTAAGAAAACAATAATGATTTAATTTTTGAATAAAATATAAATTTGAATATATCATAAAAAAATTTAAAAAAATATATCAATGTTAATGTCAAATCAACTATTTAAAAGTTCTCATTTTTTATGTAATTTCTTTAATTTATTTT